CATTGTCTTATTTTAAGTGCATATTATCTTCTTTTAAGAGTAAAAAATCTAATTTACCTACTCAAATTAAGGGTAAATACACTTAATTTAAGAAATGTTTTACTTATTTCTAGATTGTTTTTCCAGTGTGTGTGACATCATCTAGTAAAGAAAGAGAACTGCAGGCTATGATGACAAGCCCCAGCTTTAAGGTTTAACTTTATGTTTGAGATTTTTTATTCTAAAGCAAGACAGGAATAAGATGAAGAGACTTCACTGATAATTAAAGTCAAGATAAATCACAAATTAGCGACTAGCTATTAGCCATTAATAATGCAAAACTTACCATCTGCTTCAGAGTTTCCTATCAGCACTGAACTAAACGCCTATTTCAGAGTTTTCAGAGTTTTAATAAGTCCGGCAGAATAACTAGTTTATTTTTTCTTCTCAAGCCGGTAAAACTTGGACTGGATACTTTCACGGTGGTTCCAGATTCATTTTTTAGGGGACCTTTATTGTGTTTTAGATTTATTTATTTGACAGGGACAGTGTACATTAATAAGCATTCCCGCAAACGCACCAGAATTAGCCTAAAGGCTATTATTCATCTGTTGTCCCTGCACAGTCTGCCTAAAAACACAACAGTAAAGAAAAATTGAAAAATCCAAATATAAAAAGAAATAAAAACAGCTATAACTCTATAAAACTTGTTTAAAAATACAGAATTAATGTTCCCTAAAATCCAGTGTTGGGAATTATTATAAAGGATGGTATGATGTTAAAAGAAATAGACGTTGGCATCTCAGAAAGTTAGTGAGGTCATAAGGTTCAGTGAAGTTTGCCAGTCGATTCAGAGGGTGTAACATAAATCATATTGGTTCATTACAGATAAAGCAAAGTATTTTCAATCTTTATTTCGTTTAAGATAATGAAATCCTCAAAAAATTTGTGTGCAAGAAAAAATTATAGGATTGTGAAAAAGGGGCGGCATCACAACCCGGTTAGCCAAGACTAAACACCTGCAAGGTTTCCTAAGCCTCTGGATCAAGGTTCTCCAAATGTGGTCTTTAAGATCTACTGTCCTGCAGGTTTTAGATGCAGTCAGGCTGACTGGACTGATGTCTAGAAGGCAGACACTGGCTGCCCCATCAACAAAGCCATGTGAAAAATATTGTTAAAGTTGAGTGGAAGGAAAAAATGTGGTTGGAAAAGTAGCAGCAGCTTCATGGAGAACAGAAGCAATGAAAGGAATGTCAGACCACATGGGCTTCCAGCAGAGACAGCATCAGAACCAGCTCACCCAGACTAAGACTGGCGGGGGGGGGGTGTTGATGCTTAATGATCCATCTCATCTGCTGGTTTGGTCCATCTGATGCCATCTAGTGTGGAGCATTTCATTCTTTCTTCATAGAGATTCTAAATGTATGCTGCTATAGGCTTAGACTGCTGGAGGACATAGGGACCCCTTTTTCATCATTCTGATTCATTCTATCTCTATTCTCCCACTCTGCAGAATCTGTTATTTCAATCTCTAACGTTCTGCTCTCTCTGCTTTTTCTCATAGTAGCTTCATCTGGTCTGTTCCTGTTTGGCTGTGAC